TCACCACAAGGAGGGAGTCTCACTTAGCTTCGATCACCTCCACCCCCAAGCTTTTGGCCAGTTCGAGACCTCCAATCATGGCCTCATATTCGGCCTCGTTGTTAGTCAATTTCAAAGTTCTAATGGATTGTCTAACTACATTGCCTGTGGGTGGCTTCAGTACGATGCCGAGTCCAGATCTCTTTGCGTTCGAGGCACCGTCCGTAAAGAGGGTCCAGATTCCCGAAGACGTCCCCAAGTTTACAAACACCTCTCTTTCGACCTCGGGTATTAGGGCCGGTGTAAAATCGACCACAAAATTTGCCAAAATTTGAGACTTAATGGCTTTTCGGGGTCGATACTCAATATCATACCTGCTGATTTCCACGGCCCATTTGGCCAATCGTCCCGAGAGTTCGGGTTTATCCATTATATTTCGCAATGGGTAAGTTGTTACGACACATATAGGATGGCACTGAAAATATGGTTTTAGTTTCCTAGAGGCGCTTAGCAAAGCGAGCGCCAATTTTTCTAGGTGAGGATATCTAGTTTCAGCATCACCTAGGGTCCTTCTAACATAATAACTTAGAAATTGCGTACCTTGTTCTTCCCGAACTAGGACTCCACTTAGCACTATCTCCGATACTGCCAAGTACAAGTATAGTTGTTCGTCTGCCTTTGGTGTGTGGAGTAGTGGCGGGCTCGATAAATATCGCTTGAGTTCTTCCAAGTCCCGTTGGCATTTCGGGGTCCATGTGAAGTTCTTTTTCTTTTTCAGTAACAAGAAAAATCGGTGGCTCTTATCGAAGGACCTCGAGATAAATCGCCCCAGGGCGGCAATGCGCCCGATTAGCCTTTGCACGACCTTCACATTGTCCACTACCGTGATATCCTCAATAGATTTGATCTTGTTGGGGTTGATCTCGATTCCTCGGTTGGATACCATGAACCCGAGAAATTTACCTGAACCGACTCCGAACGCATATTTCTCCGGATACAACTTCATGTTGTACTTCTTCAATATACTGAAGGATTCCTGCAAATGCTTTAAATGGTCCTCTGCTCGTAGGGACTTAACCAACATATCTTCATTATAAACTTCCATGGATTTCCCTATTTGTTCTTCGAACATCCGATTTATTAGGCGTTGGTAAGTGGCACCAGCGTTTATTAATCCGAATAGCATCACATTATAGCACTATGTGCCATACTTAATGAGGAAAAAGGTCTTTTCCTGATCATCCGGGTTCATTCGTATTTGGTTGTACCCGGAGTATGCATCGAGAAAACTGAGGATCTCGTGGCCGGCCGTGGCATCGATCATGCGATCAATGTTAGCCAAAGGGAAAGAGCCTTGGGACATGCCTTATTTAAATCTTTATAATCTACACACATTCTCAGTTTGTACCCTTTTTTTAGGGACTACTGCTACGTTTGCTAACCATTCCGGGTATTTGACTTCCCGAATGGACCTATTTTAAGGAGTTTAGTTACTTCGTCCCTGATGAAAGAATGTTTGATCTCGGACTAGGGTCTCCTTTTCTGCTTGACCGGGTGGAATTCCAGATCCAGGCTCAGCTTGTGAGTGGTTATCTCCGGTGGGATCCCTGTCATGTGGAGATGGGACTAAGCAAAATAATCTATGTTAGCTATGAGAAATTGAATGAGTTTTTTCTTGAGCTCGGAGGTTAACCCCGTGCCCAGGTATACCTTCTGATCGGGTAGATGTTTGATCAATGTGACTTGCTCTATCTCTTCGACCGTTGATTTTGTAGCATCGGAATCATCGAGTACTATAAAAGATATGGGAACCCCGTAATCATCATCTTCATCGCCCCCTGTTTATCCGATTGGGTCGTGGCTAGTGTCGATAATTGTTATTTAGTTTCCTGCTTTGTATTTGAACTTGGTTCTTTCGATGTCATCAGTGTTGATACCGGAATCACTTTTTCGACTGCAAACATTTCCTTTGCGGTTGGTTGCTCTCCGTAGATCGTTTTAATCCCTCATGGCGTTGAGAATTTTAACACCTGGTGAAGGGTCGAGGGCACTTCCCTATGTTATGGATCCATGGCCTCCCGAACAGGGCGTTATACCTCATGCCCCCTTCAATCACATAAAACTTGGTTTTCTAGATGGTCCCGGCTGCGTTTACTGTTAATGTTATTTCTCCCTTAGCAGTTTTACAAGCCATGTTGAATCTTTTTAGCACTCGGGCTACAGGCACGATTTTGTCCTGTAGGTTGAGTTGTTCTACAACCCTCGATCGAATGATGTTGGCCGAGCTACCTGGATCAATTAACACACGTTTAACTCGAGATTTATTCATGAGTACATATATTACCAGTGTATCTTTATGGGGCTGCATGATTCCTTCTGCGTCCTCGTCGTTGAAAGACAAAGTTCCTTCTTGTATGTAATCTTGAGTCCGTTTCTCCCTTGTGACAGATACTTTGGTGCGCTTTAACATCGGGCCTTGAGGAACATCGACCCCTCTGATAATCATGTGAATGACGTGTTGAGGTTCTTCTTGCTCGGTTTGTTTATTGGAGTCCCTATTTCTGAAATGACCCTTGGCTCGATAACTCAGGAATTCTCGATGATGCCCGTTGTTGAATAACCGGGCTACCTCCTCCCTCAACTATCGGCAATCCTCTGTTCTGTGGCCATAAGTGCCACGATATTTGCACATCTTATTTCGATCCCTTTGGGCTGGGTCAGATTGTAGAGGTCAGGGCCATTTGGTATCTTTGATGCGTCCGATAGCCGATACGATGGCAGCAACATTAATGTTAAAGTTATATTCTGATAACCTTGGTGCTTCCTTAGGCCCGATAAGCCTGTCGAAACCGTTCTTGCTCATGAGTCCCTGGCTGCTCCGGCCTCTGTCATTTCTGCTTTCATTTCGCATAACACCCCGTTCGGACCCACTGTTCCTTTGATCCTCACTGTACGGCTGATACCGATCCCTGTTCGGCCTTGGTTCACGATCGATATCTCTTTTGACTCTATCGATGGGTCTAACAGGATAAACGGAACCGGAAGGAGCCCTAGTTGATCATTTTCGACTCTGATCTTCGATTGATATCGGTTATGCACATCAGCCCAAGTGACAGCCAAATATTCTATTAGATTCTACTTCAACTGCTATGAAGCCACCGAACTTTGAACATTGAGTCCTTGGGTAAAAGCTTGAACGACCCAATTATCAGCGACTGGTGGCAGGTCCATCCGTTCCATTTGAAACCGAGATACAAACTCTCTGAGCATTTCATTATCCTTTTGCCTTACTTTGAAGAGGTCCGATTTCCTTGTTTCGACCTTGATAGCCCCAGCGTGTGCTTTCAGAAAAGATCTGCAAGCATAGCAAATGAGTCAATAGAATTAGGGGTAAGTTGTGATACCATATCATAGCTCCCTTTGACAGGGTTTCTCCGAATTTCTTCAGAAAGACAGACTCAATCGCATCATCCTCCAAGTCGTTTCCTTTGATGGCGCATGTGTATGAAGTGACATGTTCATATGGGTCGATCGTTCCGTTGTACTTAGGAATCTCGGCATGCAGAATTTTTAGGGATCGGCTTTGGAGCCGCACTCAGAGGGAAAGGTTTCTGTACGAACTTCTTGGAATCGAAGCCTTTCAATATCGGCGGCGCTCCCGAGATCTGGTCGACCTAGAATTGTAGGTTTCCACCTTTTTATCGTTTGGTTCAATTTTCTTCTCCCCTGATTCTATTTGTTTTGTCAGCTCCTCAAGCATTTTTATGGTCTCGAGGTTATTACCCGACTCGTTCCAACTCAACCTTTTCGCGACCGGTTCCTCCCTGCGAGTGATCTCTCGAGACGGGTCAGGCTCGATCTCGCTCGGTATGCGGCTCTGGTTTTGTAACTGAGTTATTGCTGCCTGTTGAGCCTGCAATATTTCGAAGATCATCTGTAGATTGACCCCGTCTCCTCCATTATTTTGAGTATTCTGTGCTGTCAACCGGGCTCCACCTCAGATGCTATTATCCTTAGCCCCACGGTGGGCGCCAAACTGTTTAACCTCAAAATCGGATAACAGTTGAATTTATAAGTGGTTTTAAGGATACGTGGATTAATCTGACACAAAGTGATAGTTTGAATTATAAATAAAGCAAACAATAATAAAGTAAATTCAAACCCTATGACTTGAACAGTTATAGCCTTGGAAAATAGGTCTCATTCGAACCGAATGTGATTCAAATAATGTCAAATACAGAAGAACAGTAGCTTGCAGAAAGAAAATAATATTATAATGCTTTTGGATGCGTGTTACAATGTGTCTTGCAAATAATCAGACCCCCTTTATATAGTAGGGGAATCCTACTTTAGGTACAATTCTATAAAAGGTAAAAATTTCATTATTTGCTAATTAACCAGTTCCTTATTGATACATACCGAGATTCTCGCCTTGATATCCGACCGATTACGGATATTTCGGCCTTCCGTTATCTGGTCCGACAACGTTACCTCGGGCTCATTCGGAATCGGGTCGATTTTGCTTTCATGGGCTAGATAACCTCGAAGACGTATTTTTAACCTCGTATCCTTGTTCGATGGAACCTGGGGTTGATCTTCAATTCATCACGTTTTAATCCCGATCTATCATACATAGATGAGCCCGATTTATAGCCTATTTGGCCAAGCTTCTTTTGAGTCAATAGCACTTTTTCTTTTCGTAAAGTGCTTTTTTTTCCTAATATACTTGGTGAAACTAATAGCCCGTTTGGCCAAGCTGCAAAAATCAAGCAGTTTGTGTTTGGCTAATTAGTTTGAAAAGCACTTCTGAGCAGCAATTAGTGTTTGGCCAAGCTTTAAAAAACTGCTTCTAAATGTATTTTTCTCAAAAGTGCTTCTCAAAAAAATATTTTTGGAGAGAAGTTACTTTTTTCTGCTTCTCCTCAAAATTACTTTTTTTCCTTCCAAAAGCTTGGCCGAACAACTCAATTTTTGGCCAAAGAAGCTATAAACCTCTGTTTCAGCCGTGCATACTCCTGCAGCTAAAACCTCAACAAACCCACCCTATGCGCCACTGACATTCGCTCCTCTAAAGACGGTAATATGAAACTAGAAGCTCAGTGACCGATTTCTACATTATCGCCATCATGTTCGTTTCCAGATACATTCAACGGCGCTCTCTCAGATCCTTGCAGTATATTTCATCTCTCTACTTTTTCTAATTTTGTTAGTTAAGTTTCGATAAATTTAATTTTGTAGAACTTTAATTATCTCAAAGAGATTTTTTTACTATAGGAATGCGATTCTGCGGAGATACGATATGGTGAATATGATTTCAATCGGTGAAAATACGACGGTAAAAAATGTGGAAGTTCCTATATTTACTGCAACGAGTAATGTGTGGAATTGCAGTGGTGGAGTGCGGTGGATGTCGGGGAAGAGCATGAGGAGCAGAGTAGCAATGAGAATGCAGAATGAGTCGAGCAAAACCCTAAGGGAGATTCGGAGGTCAAAGAAGTTGAAATTGAAGCTGATGACTGATGAAGAACGGTTAATTTATAATCTGCGAAGAGTAGGTCCAAATGTTCTTTAATTATTCATTGCAAATCATTTTTCAGTGTTTGGTTGTATATAAAAGTCTAAGACAAATACACGGGTCTATTTGCTTTAGATAATAATAAACATTTTAAAAGTAAATAATAATTTTTATTTCAGAAGGTAATAGGTGAAATTTGCAAATTGCAAGTTTGCTGAAGTTGAGTCCAGACATGTGCCATTTTTATGTCTTAGCAAATTGTGCTTTGCTGCACCGATGCGTGATTGTGGTTACTGCAGCTAGAGTGGTGCTGTTGCCGAGTAAAAATTTCTTCTTGTGGATTAGTCTAGAGGTGCATCAAATTACTGCTTCTTTCTTTTTCTGACAGGTCAAATTGCTGCTTCTTTCTTGGGGTTGAACAATTTCTTTATAACTAGACTAGCACAATAAAAATAGATAGATTTACAGCTTTAGCTGTTTCAAGCTCTATATACCTTCTCAACCAAGCTCCATAAAGGCTCAATTGGTTGATGATGTCTGCAGTCATAATTTAATTTTGAGGCTGAAATGCTTTGAACTTATAATGAGCTCAAGTTGGTCTTGCACAAGACTTAATTGGCTTTTGGTTTAAGGAAGTAGAACATAGAAGGCTACATTTTTCATTGATGTTCCAGGAGAACTCTTGCATATTGAACACTTCTAGTGAGGTAATTGTTTTATGGGCCAAGTAACATCTTAGTGCCTCCACTCATTAGGGCCCCTTTAGAGTACTCAGTGTAACTTTGAGATACAGAAATAATTCCCAGAAAAATGAGGACTTCTGCAGTGGTCAAATAGTCCTGGCTTTTTTTGAAGAGAGTTTAAATCTTAAAGATATCAAGTTGAACAGCAGTTTACAATGTGCTTTGACTGAAAAATGTATTTATGTCAAATTTCGGTAATTGTGTGTGCTTATAGGTACTTATCGAACAATTTTAGAACTTCATTTTTCTGCATGCCTCTCTACCATACAGTATTTCAATTTGTTACTATACCTTCAGTATGTTCAGAAGTCGGACTCCTATTGTTCTGCTTATGTCCTAAATTGCTCGGACTCCGGTGTGGGTGTCCGATACGGGTGCGGATCTAGTGGTCGGATCCTTCGAAATCTAAATTTTAAGATTCTGGGATATGGATCGAGGTACGGATATGGGTGCGGGGATTCGGCTGAAAATAATTCAAATATCTAAAAATAGAGTTATAAAAATATATCTAATTATGAGACATTATGTGAAAAATTTATAAGTTATTTTAAGAAGGAAAAAATATAGATCAAGAGGAGAATCCGAGAAGGACGTAAAAGGAAAAGGACTAACATTGGATTTCTATATACTAAGTATTCAATTTTCTTCAATTTCACCATAACTTTTATTTGGATTTCAAAATCATTGTATCTGCCCCAAATTTATCTGTCGATTTTGGTAAAAGTACCTAAAATTGGTTGACAAGATATCGTCCGGATCCCACATCCACACCCATGTCATGTCGACACGAGTGCGGCAGCGAAAGTGAAGAGTCAGAGCAACTTAGCTTATGTCTATATGGTTACTGATCGGTCATAGACAATTGTCAAAAATGCAGCTAAGAGTTCCATCTTTGAGTGTCTTGAGTTTTCACTTCTTGTTTCATTCATCATATTTTAGTGTGTTGCCTTTTTGTGTATTTCTACTAAAAAATACCTTATTAATCCAACTCAAAATTTTCACTTCCCTTACTAGTGTAGGCAAAGAAAAAAGTTGCTTTGCTACTTCAGAAGCTGAAGAAATATGAGCTACCAGAGTTGCCATCTCCACGTCATGATCCTGAGCTTCTGACTCCTGAGCAACTGCAAGCGTATAAGAAGATTGGTTTCAGGAACAAAAACTATGTTCCTGTTGGTGTTCGTGGAGTCTTCGGAGGAGTTGTCCAAAATATGCATCTCCACTGGAAGTTCCATGAGACTGTGCAAGTTTGTTGTGATAACTTCCCTAAAGAAAAAATAAAAGAGATGGCCTCAATGCTGGCTCGACTAAGTGGTGGTATTGTGGTTAACATACACAATGTAAAAACAATTATTATGTTTCGCGGCAGAAACTACCGCCAACCAAAGAATTTAATACCTATCAACACACTTACAAAAAGGAAGGTGAGCTACAAATCTCTTTTTCTTTGCCTTGCCCCTTTTGAGTAGTCCACTGCTTATGTAAAGCCTAGTAGTAACTTTAGAAGTTGATGAATTGTTATATGTTTCAGTTAACCCCTTAATTTTGTATTTGCTTGAGGGAACCTAGCTTCTGTCTGTGTTTCATACACCTATGTGATGTCAAACTCCCTGGGTGCTATGAGTCTTTGACATGTACTCCTGGTACCTTTGTTTTTTTCAGTTCAACTGAAGTTCTATTCTCTTGAATGTGAGCCCATTCTTCAAGTTACAATGGGTATACAGCATGTCTCATCTGTTGAGAATTTGTTGAACCATCGATATTTTGGAATTTGTGTTGAACATAGGGCTAAGGTCTGCGTACATTCTACCCTCCCCAGACCCCACTAGTTGGAATTTACTGGGTATGTTGTTGTTGTTGTGTTGAACATAGGGACTAAAACTCTGGACTCTCTTAATTCCTATTGTATGTAATGAACTAGCTTTTCTGTAACTTGCTTAACAACGCTGGAAATTTGTTAATGTTCTGTTGATGAGTACACATCTACTGATTGACGAAGTTATCTCTTCCATGTAGGCATTATTTAAAGCCCGGTTCGAACAAGCACTAGAATCACAGAAATTAAACATAAAGAAAATAGAACAAGAGCTCCGGAGGAAGGGGATAAATCCTGATGATCCAGCAGCCAGGGCCAGCATCCAGCGAGTAGCATCCACATTCTTCAATGCCATTGATAAGAAAGAAGGAAGCCCATATGTCTTTCAGGAGGATATTGGTACTAAGTTGGGTCTCAGCAGTAGTATAGACCAAACACATTCAACAGCTGAAGACAGTGACCAGGAAGAACTTGACCGTTTTATTGCTCAGATAGAACAGGCAGCTGATGACGAATGGGCAGCCGAGGAAGAAGCAGAGAAAGACGAAGTAGGGAAGATTAGATATTGGAACAAAGAAGATATAGGTAGTCGATTCAGAAGATCTGGAATGATGGGAAGTGATGAATCAGATGATGAGTCAGGAGGGAAGACAAGTGGCTGGAATAAGACATACGGAAGGAAGATAGCTGATGATGATGGATATGATGACGTATCTGAAGATGACAATGAATTGGACAACAATGACGACCGACATGGTAGAAGCAATTACGCTGATTCCGGCATGTACAAGGCTCCTGACAGGCATCCTAAGCATAAAACGGAGAAATGGCAGAAAGGTAAGAGCAATAGACCTATAAGTGAGGGAGGTTCAAGCAGAAATTTTGATCCTTATTTAAAGGGAAAGATGGGTACAGAAGGTTCTGGTTCAGATATGTTAAGTGACATTGAGGAAGCCATGTGGAATTCAGATGATGAGGGAGGGCAGCACTCAATGCTACCAAGTGAGTATAGAAGTAGTAGTGACGAGGGGGAGGATTATGATAAGGTAGCAACATTGGGATCAAGTGCAGAGGATGCACCTGGTTCGAGGGCATCAAGAGGGGTAGCTAGTAGCTTTAGGACTAGTAGTCAAGAGCAAATGAAGAAAAATGAGGATAATTCCGAGACCAAGACAAAGGTGAAAAGCTCAAAGGACTTAGATGAAACTTGGGACAGCGACTGACCTGGGTGCCAACTTTGACGTAGAAATAGTGCTCATGGGATACAGTGGAATAGAGGCCAGTGCTATTTATGGTACTTGAATAAAGAACTCTGATTTGTGCAAGAAATCAGAGCTCAAGTTGAATGCACTTTTCATATGGGCAGGGAATCGAGCTAAACTGTTTCTTCCTGTCTGCTTGCATCTACATGTCTGAATTTGGGTGAAACGCGAACAAGGCACAGAGACACTGCCAGTGCACCTGTATTTCTTCTCCTGGATTCTCTGTATCCATATCGTTTAAGTACACAAATAGTTATTCCCTTCTCATAATGTTTGTTCAAGCGTGCTGCTGAAGAGTAGTACATTGAAGAATCTGGGGTGGTGACTTTTGTATAATATCAGTGAACCAAATTACTCTTTCGATGGTATAATGAGATGGACTCTTGACTGGATTAATAATGCTGTACTCCATTTTTCATTTTTTTTGTTACTTTTTATTTGAGAACTATGTCTTTCTCCTGATGATGAGTGTAACAGGTCCAAATCCATAATTGACTTGATTACTTATTGGTTATCAGGTTGTTGCGGTCTCATTTTACTATGACCTGTTTAGTGAGCTCGCATAATGTACCAAAAGCAGAATGGGTATTCCTCGTCATAGGAGAGGAAATAGTAATGGGGGAAATGTATGATCTGAACTCTGTTATCATGGTTTTGTGTTGGTGAATTCCTCGAAGTTAGAATTGTTGGTTTTTCTTCTGATGCTTTCGCAGCTTAAATTATTGATGGTTTATCTAGGCTTTCACAGTGTTCATATTGAGTATTTTATGTCCCACTACTCGAACAGTTGATTTTAATTGAAAATGGTTAATTCTTATAGTAATCTTTAAACGGATATCGGTGTGGCACATAAATAAATAATAGGAAGCCTGATCGTGGATGCAATTATATGGTGTCTTGGTAGACTATTCCTGCTTGGATTCCTTGGTCCAATAAAACAGTTGACAAGCAATCTATACCTTACCATACATACGACTTACACCAAAAAGCACAAGTGCGTGATCACTAAAGTCAATGAAGATTGAGGAAGGTAGTGTTGAATAATGGGGTATTATCACTTTTAACCCGCACCAGAAACTATTTACATCAGGTAGCCGAAAAAGTGTATGAAACTTATATAATTTTTGTATATAATATACAAAATGTATATATATACAAAAAATATATAAATTTTATATATTTTTTCGGCTATTATTTTTACAGCGGCTATACACTGCCATTTTTCCTTGAATAATTATGCCATTCGGAAGAAATCTTCTTCAGAAGAAAAGCTTGTTACAAGCAAGAAAAACTCGAGTACGGCTTCAAGCGATTTTTCAAAACGAAGTTGAGATTTTGTTAGAACAAGCGCATAAGGAAGACTCAATACCTTTATGGGACAACCTTTGCAGTGTAAAGATTCGTTAAGGAACATATACTGATATTATATGTGTGTCGATAAAGGTATTTAGAGAGCTAAAGAGAAGATGTCTACCATCCGAACATGTTGGAAAATTAGAAGAAATAATCAATTTGATAAAAGGATCAAGTCAATGACCCAGTGAACAATGAAGTTGGTGAAACTATGAGAGACCAAAGTTCTGGTTGTAGACGAGCAGGTACTTGATAGAATAGTGAAGATGCACTTGAGTTAGCCAAAGACCACAAATATCAACAAAATGAACAGAGTCACTGACCATATACGTAACTAAAATTGGCTGTCCATCTCTAACGAATTTAATCTTTGTCAGATGTCCCAGCAAAGAAAGCAAAGAAACTGATTACTCTTCTGTAGAGATTCAATTCGCGTTACACGCACAGCACAAAACAAAGGAACACAAAATGATCATCGACACATATATGCCATAAGAGCATGTGATCAGGCTCTGGAAAGAAAAAAATCCTTCAAGGGGCTTGCGTTGAATACCCAAAACATTAGTCTCGAGCACTTAGTCTAGCAGGCAAATAATACCTAAACAATGCCCCACATTGATCAAGAAATTAATAAGCGCAATGCATCTTCTCTCGTTAAAACGCTCTCATCTCTCTCTCTCTCTCTCTTTTCTTCCGCCCTTCCAGAACTTTCAATTTCATTCTCCAACTCATTTACGGACTATAAAGGAATCACCATGTACAAAAACAACAACATCAACCAGTAATAATCCCACTAATGAGGTCTGGAGAGGGTAGAGTGTACGCAGACCTTACCCCTACCCTGGAGGAGTAAAGAAACTGTTTCCGGAAGACCTCCGGCTCAGAGACAAAAGATCTGTAACAACAACAGAAACCAGACAAATAGTATCAGCACCGCAAGAGATAACAAATAAGTGGAAATTCAATAATTATGCTAATAATAAATTGAAAAAAAATAAAAATTGAAAATAAAAATAGTGTGATGAACAAAAATCGCTAGCAGTCCTAGACAAAATACTATCAGACTAGCTGGAATCACCGTAAAAACATAATTTCCGCCTCTAAGCAAACTGAACCCACGGAACTCCCTTTGCTTTGTCTCGGGATCGACTCAATCAATGAGAACCACAGCGAAATGCTTCTGGCATGCCAAAGCAAGGTAAGCGATCAAATATATAGGCAAGGCAAAGGAAGTTATTTCGTCTCTCGGGACTGGTTTCGCATTTCTCAACAAGATGGCAAATGGATCATTCAATAGTGTCACAACTTCCCCTCATATCTCCATTACTACCTACTAAAATCACAAAAACTGTATATTCAAACTGAAATCTACTCAGCAGACGTTCTCCCTCAGAGAACATAACAAGAGATGAACATGGAAAAACAAAATCATGGGAGCTATCAAGTACGTACTAGTAGTAAAAAGAATATACTAAACAATCAATATATAGTGCTATGGCTGAAAGAAAAATGAATCAGGTGGTCAATATCATAAGAATGAAATTCAAGGAAAGCACCATTTACACTAAATATTGGAATAAATTACTCGAACACGAAATCCGTTAACCAAAACGTCTGACTATTGTCATTCAGAAAGGTCCACTTATCTCAATACAGATGCAAATGAATGTACAGAAAACCCCTCCCAGGAACATTGCCCCGCCTTTGTTGCGCACAAGGTATGTAATACTGCTACAGCACAGTTACCAATCTGGTTAGAGCCCCTCAAGGCACAACATAAAATCTGCCCCTGAGCACCTCTGGTGTTAAGAAGAAGTTCCAACTCTGTCTTAAAACTTAGCCATCTTCTCTTTTGCAGTTCCCAGGCAAAAGATATTTGTACTTGTCTGGATTTTCCAACAGATAAGAAGGAAGATTAACTGCCGAGTACGAATGGGGGATAGGTCCCATGCTGCCAATAATATCCTTGAATGTGTACTCCTCAGGAAGCATGTCATACAAATCAGTTCCTCTACAAATGACATCTTGAATCCTTTTAGGATTAAGATAATGTGAAAACCTCACTCTGTCATTGTGGCTGTAAGCTTTCATCTTAAATATAAAGTCACTGATGCGGCGGAAACAAAAGCTACAATGCCAACCGGCATCTGCCAAAAGATAATCACTCTGACGGTAGTGCGCATATCTAGTCTTGCCACTTTGATACCTGTGGACTGAAGCTCTCCAGCTTCTGTGCTTAATCTCAAATTCAAATGAGTACAAGTAATTCCTAAAATGAAGGTGAATGACAGGAGGAATGTCATCGCACCACCTTAAAAGATTGATGGTATGAGCGCTGGGAATCTCATCAACATCAGACATGATCAGTAAATCATCATCCTCAATACCAGCAATTCTCAGGAGTTGGTCCAATGCTACTCTCTGATATGCCTCTTCAACAAATGGATTTTCACCTTTTCTGGCTCTTCCTCCTATGGTTCCATACGTTAATCGAGTCTCAACAAACTTAAACTGGTCCCGATTAATTGCAAAATTGTGGAGTTTAGGCAGCCCAGTGAATGTTGAGTTTGACTCTAAAAGAACAAACTGTGTGATGTAAGGATACAATTCCTTCCATCTGATGGTAAGCATATCCACTTCATTACTGAACAGAACTGCATCAAACACTCGCCTAGGATATTCACGAATTCCCCACCCGTGGAGCCTGCAAATTTTCTCCATCGGAACATCCTCATTGTAATAGTGAGTAATTTCTATAAAGGGGTTCGGAGGAGATTGCCAGAGGGGGCGGAGGAAGTAGGTAATCTTCTGCCCGTGCAAGTACGCAGCAACTATGAATGTTGGCACAACCACAATCAAAAAGATAATAGTCTTTAAATCCAACCCTCGAAGCATGCACCGTAGTCTTGACATGCTTAATGTTGTCGGTGAATCCTGCTAAATATTAAAACAACTTTCTAAGTGCACAAGCTAAAATGGTAATAACTAATTACAATAGAAGGTACTAAATCTTTTTCTTTAGCTTTTTATTGGTCTTCACTTTTCTTTTGGCTGGAGGGGGCTAAAGGGGTTGGTGTAAGACATCTTAGCTTTAAAATCATAAGAAACTTCAAACAGAAATCAATTAAGTCCAAACAAGTTCAATATATTGAGAAATTTTTTCTCCTGAATCCTCCAAGCCAGAGAAAGAAAAATTTACTTTTCTATCTTCTTTTAGTTACTTCTAGAACCATAAAAATAACAACTTCCAACAACTAGATATTAACAGCCTAAATAACAAAATGTTTGACCATAAAACTTGAAATTCAAAACAGCAAAAACATCAAAACTCTGGAGACAAACAAATCAAATGTTCTGAAAGAGTAGAATCAGAGAAAACATGAAATTTCAACAAACTCAAATTCCTGACCTACTTATAGAAATACTTGGAAGATGATGAAAAATTGTAAAATCTGGTCTCCAGAAAAAAAAACATTATTTTGCACCGGAAAAAGAAATTCCTCCAGTGACAACTATTTCTCCATCAAGTAAAGTTCTGGGGTTTACATTTCAATCTATTTCAATTTGTCCATAGCAGAACCAAAAACATACATGCTTATTCCACATAATCCAACAGAAAAATTTGATCATGGCAGAATTTTCCACATATATATATATGTATGTATGTTAAAACCCAAATGAGATAAAAAAAAAATAAACTGTAAAATGCTTCAGCTTTCCTTCTGATGGTAAATTCTAAATCCATGCCAAATTGTCAACAGCAAAACAAAAGCACATATCTTTAATTCCACAAAATCCAACATAAAAATCTGATCTTGGAAGAATTTTCCAAAAAATAGAACAAGATAAAGACCAATGAGATAAAAAATAAACTGTAAAATAGTTTCAACTTTCCTACTGATAGTAAATCTTAATCCATGTCAAATAAAAGCACATATCTTTATTCTACAAAAACTCAACAGAACAATATGATGTTGGAACCAATGAGATAAAAATAAACTGTAAAAAAGCTTTTCACTTTCCTTGTGATTGTAATTTCTTATAAACTATATGAGATTATTAGGGAAAATTACCTGGCCACAAACATCAGGGCAAATATCATCACTCTTCTTTGAACTGTAATAATAACCATCAGACATCATGAGAAACAAAAAATTTCAA